AAAGATAAATCTTTTAAATTTTTAATAAAATTTACAATAAATAAATTTAAAAATTGGATTTAAAAACCAAAAATGAATAAATAATTTGATAAAAACAAAATTATCCAGTTCCAAATATCACAATGGAAGTCATCAGTCAACATCAAATATGTACACTGTACAATGTTGAAAGGAGACCATATTTTATACATTATTGTATGAATTTGACCGAGTTGTTGGCATTAATCAATGTTGTTAGATTGTTGCTGTTATTAGAGTTGTTGTTGCCAGCATTACGTGATTTTTTTTGATTTTATTGTTTGTGTTGTGATTAAGGTTGATGTTGTTTCATTTTATTTACGATTGCTTTTGTTGTTGTTAATGCCTTTGCTGTTGTTGTTGGTGATGTTTATGTTTTAGTAGTAGTAGTTGTTGTTGTTGTAGTTGATTAAATGCCCTGAGTGTGTTAAATATTGTTGTTGTTTTGTATTTGTTAGCTGTGTTGTTGAAGGATCTCGTTGTTGATTCTGTTGTCTTGGTTGCTACTTGTGTAACTACTCTCCGTGCTGTTGCTAATCCTGTTGTTGTCATTGTTGCTGTTGTTGTTGTTAGTGTTGTTGAGTCTGTGTTGTGGCTGTGAGGGTTGTTGCAGAGGCTGCTGATTATATAGCGCTGGAGAATTGAGAGAACCAAACGAAGCCGACCCGACAATAGTTGGATGGGTAACGAAAACATCTGAAGAAAAAACTCCAGTGGCGTATGACGGCTGGTAGTTGGATGACGATTTGGGCGCCGTCACCGATGGTGGTCTTTTGAAGTTGGCAGGCAGAAGGGCAGGCTTGTACCTGCACCATGCAAAAGTCCAGTACACAAGTCCACACAAGGTCCAGGCACCCCCGAGAATCAGAAAGACGAGAGAAACTAGAAGGACTCCACCGTCAGTCCAAGATTCCTGTCGGTCAGTTGTGGCGATGAGGATGGCGCCGATAGCGAGGATGATGAAGCCGGGAATGGTGATCATCAGACTGCTTCTCGGAATGTTGTAGCAAAATGTGGCGCATCTTGATTTGCTGGGTATACGATCGGAGGGCTTGCGCGGGTCCTTGCCGCTTCTAACTTTGCTGCTGTCGCTGCTGTAGTTAAGTCGTTGGACGTTGATTAAAACGTTGTCGTTTGTGTTGTTGTTGTTGTTGTTGTGGTTGGATGCGGTACTATCTGAATTTGTGCTCTGGCTCACTCTGTACAGTGCAGATGTGGAGCCAGTTTCCGAGTTGTGGCCGGTCGACACTGAAAGCATTTCGCACTGCTGGCAGTTAAGTCTTCGTTCGCTATAATGTAATCTTGATTATATTTGTCAATTTGTTGTCATTTTGTAGTAGTAATTTTTGCTGTTGTAGATGTTGTTGTCTGTATTTATTTTTTTTATATAGATAACTCAGTATTATCCGTTACCTGTCCGTGTTGAAGCAGTTATGAAATATTTTTTAAACATTCATTCATTTGTTCGTTCGTTCATTCATTCATTTCTTCCCTCATTCATTCATAAATTCCTTAATTAATGTATTCATTCATTTATTCATTTAACCGTAATAATTTATTAAAAAATTTTAGCAGAATTATTTCTTCGAAGCCAAAACTTTTAGTATAAAATAAACCAAACGTGAACGAACACAAATTAAATACAGAATACAATATATACGTATGTACTATATATTATTATTATTATTATCAAAAGATTTATATATATATATATTAATATATATAAATATTTAGGTATATATATATATATATATTTATGTTATTGTTATTGTACAGGGATATACATGCTAAATAAGGTTTTAGCTAGATCAATGTTCTCCATTATGACAGAGAATATTGATCAGCTTAAAGTACATACGCATGCATACATACAAACACACATACATAAAAACAAACATGCATGCATACATACATACATGCATACATACATAAGATATCTATCTAATTTGGCATGTTGTTTCAACACTGCGTACTTGCATAATTTCTTAACGTTAGCATAATAATAGGTGCATGCATAAATATAAATCGATACTTATTTATGTACCACCTATGTATGTATTTATGTATGTAATTACGTATGTGTATGTATACGAATGGTATGTGTGTGTATGAATGGTATATGTGTGTGTATGAATGGTATATATGCGTGTATGAATGGTATGTGTGTTTTGTATGTGGAATGAGAGGGGAAAAACACACAGGTATTTTTTCAACAAGTGCGCCTATTCAACATTCAACGCTCGTGTTGAATTTTTACAGGTGAACCGTTTTCCAGTTAACTCTTTTTTTCACTCTCTCTCTCTCTCTCTCTCTCTCGTTTCTCTCTATCTCTCCTCTCTTTCTCTATTTTTACTCCATCTTTCGATGAAACTTTAGTTGTACGCATACACGCACGTAGAGGCATTCAGCTAAATATTCATGAGTAGTACATACTGTATCTATAAATAGCAAGGCAACTGTGCACAGATATTAATGTACATGCATTTGTTCACGCATCAGCGAACACGTAGGCATGCATGCCAGACCAGGTGTGCAGCGAGTTAGCTAATACAGGTGAATTTCTTGAACCTACAGGCAGAATAAGATTAATACCATTGAAAGACAATTAAGAATTGAAATAAACCACTACCTTTCTTAATCTAGGTATCGAACCTATCACAAACCTACCCGCACTGCCTTGGACCTCCCTGATCCAGTCACGAAGAATTTATATCTGATACATCTGATACATACACATGCATGCATGCATGCATACATACATACACATACATACATATACATACATATACATACATACATAAGATAAATATTTATTAATTACTGTTTTATTTTACGTCAACACTGATAACCTGCTGCTGTCTAATACACATAACTAGAATAATTATATTACCTGAAGAGATATTTCTAAAAAGAAAAACATCTCGCCATCTACCAAAGATGCTGGTGTAACGGTTTAAACGAACTATAATCGAATGCGTTGTGTGTCTGTGTGTGTGTCATTGTGTGCGTGCGTGTGATATGATCTGATCCGTATATCTTACTAATAACAAAGAAAGACAATAACTAAGGAATAATTCTTCATTTCCACGTTCAAATTAATATCATAATCTTAAGAATGATAAAATATTCTGTCTGCAAAATACGTCTGTGTCATTCTGTGTGTGTCTGTGTCTTTCTTTCTCTCTCTCTCTCTCTCTCTCTCTCTCTTCTCTCTGTCCTGTCTCTCTCTCTCTCTGTGTGTGTGTGTGTGTGTGTGTATCTGACATCATAAATTAATAATGAGTGTAGAAGCCCAGTTGGTTGTTGAACTTGAATGGCTTTGATCTGGTCGGTCCTCTGTAAGGTAACGAATGAAAAAAATTATTCAATCGATCAAAAACTCAATGAAAGAATGAATGAATAAATTAAAAAATGAATGGATGGATTATGGATAAATAAATCAACAATTTCATCATTCACTCATCCTTCAATCCTTTCTTACTTTGCAATCCTCAAAAAGGTTTTCTGGCTATCAACCAGGCAGGTATAATTCTCATCCAGCAGAGTGTCACTGGCGGACTTATCAGGACCATCTTCTTGACCATCTTCACCTACGTTGGCCCCAGCGCAGCGTTCCACGACTCCTCCCGTTTCAAGGTAGACGTCGAAACAGGAGCACATCCCTACTATCTGACTGATCAGCACATCACTGGCCGTCGTCATCTGGGTGTTAACGACGCATTCCATCTCCTTTCGGTGATATTAAATGGGGATCATAAACAAAAAAAATTAAAATAATTTTTTTATAAAAACCGTTTCTAGCAAAATTAAAAAATAAAAACAGACAAAAAAAAAAGATTATTAAATTTTAGAAACTCACCCTGACTGCCTCGTCATTGGTTGCCATCCTCTTCATATCTTTCCATTGGATAAGAAACGAAAAAAGTGGCGGAGTCACAGGATAATCTGAACCAATCAGAATACAAAATTTTAACGTGACTTTCTGATTGGTTGAGCCACTGGATGGGAGATTCTTATTGGTCGCCTCTCTTTCCAGCAGACCCATGAAATAAAAATCCTTATTGGAGGCAAGATCAAGGCTTACAATGTGCTGGTTCTGGGGTAGGTTCTGTTTTTAGAATCATAAAATAATAATAATAACAAGAAATATTATTTTTTAATTATTTTATTAATTATGCATAGATATCGATATTAACATAGATAAATTATTTCTTCGTTGATAAAGTTATTTATAGCTAGTGCATGTATAGAATCACCATCACCACCAATATTGTCACCACAACTACTGACATCATTATCATCGTCGTCGTCATCGTCATCATCACCATCATCATCGTTATCGTCATCATCACCAACGACATATTCTTGATAGGACAGTGGTTTCCATTCGACCAGTCGACAGATTATCTTCTGCTTGTACGGCTGGAGTAGTTCGTTGAAAGTCCTCGCGCACTCACTTGTGTTGTTGTTTATCTTCTCTGGAGGATTTGTTGACGGGGATGAAGTCATCATGACGAAGATGACGAACGATAATAACATGACAGAAACGGCTTAGCAATCAGTGACAACAAACAGACAAACGAACGAACAAACAAACAAACAAACAGATAAGTGAACAAACAAACGCAAACAAACAAACATACAAGCAAACACCAACGTACACAAACGAAACGATACTAAACGAAACTAACCAAGCCTATAGAGTTGCTGGAAGAGATGGCACCTCTGCTTCATCCTCCTCCTCATCAATATCACCATTTTCTCGATATAACTCGTCCTACTCACGTGATCATTTTTAATATTGCTACTGCAACTATTAGTGCTACTAGTGGAGGGAGTAATGACGTCATCATTAGCGTCATCATCCGAGGCAGTACGAGGGGTAAGAGAAGATGACGATGACGTTGTGAGGGTGTGCAGGCCGCATAACCTTTGAACCCACTTGTAAGGTCGCTCGGTGCCCTCTATGTGAGAAGGTAGGTCGGATATTCTGCGTGGGTCAGGGTGAATGAATGAACGAACGAATAAATGGATGAATAAAAAAAATGAATGACTAAACGAAAGAACCAACTGACCAATATGTAGACATGCGAAAGAATGACCAAACAAATGAACGAACGAACGAATGAACGAACGAACGAACGAATAAACAAGTGAACGGACTGACCCATATTTATTGAGAATGAAAAGGTTATTTGGGTCAGGTGATTCAATGCCATCGTCATCAACGTCGTACAGGCATTGGAGGAAGGATAAGGAACTGAAGAGGTCATGAGAACTTGACTCACTGTGACGACGATGATGATGATGATGATGACGATGATATTGATAATGATGATGATAATGATGCTATTAGCGATGATTATGATGATGATGATAGTAAAGATAACAGTGACAATGACTATGATGAACTTGCATATATTATTTGTGACGATATATGCAAGTAAGAATGCAGATACACCAACATGGTCAAGAAACTGCAGTTAAAACAACTACTACTACTACCGCTACTACTACTACCGCTACTACTACTACTACTACTACCATTACTACCACATAAATACTACTACTACTACTAATACTACTAATGCTACCATTACAACCACAGAAATACCACCACTACTACCACTACTACTACCACCAATACTACTACTACTACCATTACTACCACAGAAATACTACTACTACTACTACTACTGCTACTAATACTACCAATACTACTACTACTACTGCTACTACTACTACCAATACTACTACTACTACTACTACTACTACTACCAATACTACTACTACCAATACTACTACTACTACTACCATTACTACCAATAATATTAATACCAAAGCCACCAAAACAATATCATAGTAAAAACAAAACAAAAAATAATCAGTAACAATGTGGCAGGTGAGTTAGCATCATCTACTTCCATTTTACTGTCGCCAGAGGAGTTAAACTTCGCACATAGATCAACATCAGCCCTGACGGCTGTTATATTTAGCACGGTGTAATAGGTAAATGTCAGCTTTATCATTCCCATATCTGAAAAATGGATGTGTGTGTGTGTGTAGCTAGATTTTGTATTTGTAATTTTGTAATATCCTGTTCTCTTTTTATCTCTCTCTCTCTCTCTCTCTCTCTCTCTCTCTCTCTCTTTTCTCTCCCTTTATCTCTCCTACTCCCTTTCAATCTTTTCCTTTTTAATTGACCTTTAACCTTTTAACCTTAATTGAATACATATTAACCAACCAACCAGTCAATTAATAAACTAGCCAAACAAGCCGAGTCAACCAACCAACAAACCAATCAACCAACCAACCAATCAACCAACCAATCAATCAATCAACCCCCAAACAAATCAATCAACCAATTAGGACAGAGGACCTTGACATTTGATCTCCACGACAACAGACAAAGGATGCTTGCTCATCACTTGCTGCTGCTTTCTCAGCTGCTTGGCATCGATGGTCATTCTCCTGTGCTTCTGATGAGATCATTATCATAATCGCGCCGTGAATGAGTGAGTGAGTGAAAGAAAGAATGACTGTAAATAAAAGAATGAGTGATTGAAGGAGGGAGTGGATGAAGAGATAAATAAATGAATGAATAAGATCAAACTTTCGTCTTTTTTTCCGCTTGTTCGTCTTCACTATCGCTATCCTCTTCTGAGAGTTAAATAACATTAGCATAAATAATAATAATAAAAATAATAAATAAAATTATTGGCGAGTAAATACTGACCAATAGAAATTAGGGTAGCAAGTAAAAAAAAATAAAAAAAACTGACCAATAAAAATCGAGATAGCAATAGCAGACCAATAATAATAAAGATAGCAAGTATCAAACAAAAAACCGACCAATAAGAGCAGGAGATGCATGAAATGACTGAGCCAATTCGACGTCGCCATGTATACTGACCACCATATTCTTGTCTGAATGAGCAAGAATGTTTAAAAATAATAAGAAAAAACTGAATTTCTTGATTTAATTTGTCAAAAATTCCAACGAAAATATTTCCGTTTGGTACAGTGGACCAAAAAATCAGCGGGAAAAATTATAAAAACACAAGCACGCACACACATACACAAACACACGCACACACACACAAACACACACAAACACATACACACTAACCACAGGCTTTGGAAAACGAGTAGGCCTGTACAAAGAGAAAATATAGAGGAGATGGTAGGCTGCTTGCCAATTTTTGCTGGGTCAAGGTTTCTGAGAAGGTCAGGTTCAAATCCTGCTCAACTGGCTTTGTAGACTGCAATGAAAATTACAATACTAGAACATGTGCCAGCCGTACAATAAAAATCTAGATGACAGACATAAATCGACCAATAAAAATTAAGATGACAAAATTTAGAAAACAAAACCCTCCAATGAAAATTGAGGCAACAAGTTAAAAAACTGTGCACAAAAATCTGACTCAAACAATTAAATTAAAGAGAATTTAAATCACACACCACACACACACACGCACGCACGCACACACCTCCAATATGGCTGCCAGCTTAGGCTGCAGTGCTTTCAAGTAACGTCTCTTTGATTCTATCTCATTGACAATAGCTTTCCTCTTGGCCTCAGAGTCAGTTAGTTTGGTTGACAACCTGTGACGATGATGGTAATGATGATGAGTGTGTGATGATGATGATGACGATTACTATGATGATGATGATGGTGATGTTGATCATAAACACCCCCCACCAACGCCACCATCATCCAATCAAAACCTACTCCAGTCTTTTCTTCAGTTCCCAATCTAATCTTGCTAGCATCAATTTGTGGCTATCACCTTCTTTGATCAACTGAATGAAAAAAAATAATAAAACATACAAAAAAATACAAAACCAAACTAAACAAACAAACATTTAAGGTACAAACATATAAATACACGTAAAATAAGAAACAGAAATCAATTAAAACATGAAAAAACAACAACAAAACCAACAATAAAGAACATTAACAAGCAATTTTAACATGAAAAACTAACTCAAAACAAACAAATGAACAAGCATACAAACAAACACATACAAAACAAACAAAAACAAATATACAAAACATATACGAAAACCATACAAATGATACAAACATTTTTTGCAATTTCAGGATCTACAGAGTTCAAAAACTCCTGAACAGATATCAATGAGATGTCCTCATCCTTTGATCTAAATTATTTTTATTTATTATAATTATCTATTATCATAATTATAACAGTAATATTAACCAAAAATAAAAATAATAATGAACAATAATAATAATCATAAAAAAGATTAAAAATAATAAAATCATTACTTGAACTGAAGGCATTTAGAGATTTCTCTCTGAAGATGCATGGCTTCATATATGAGATTTTGCAATTTTAAATGGTGGTCATCAATGTTCTGCTTTGCCTGTAATATATTATAATAAGAACGGTAAATAACAATAGACAACACAGAAAATTTACTTTTTAAACTTAAAAAACAGAAAGTACATTTGAAAGATACAAAAACTAAAAGTGAACTCACATCTTGAGTAATCTCCCTGACACATTTGCACCTAAAATGTCCTAGCCTGTTAAGTTTCCTTAGCGAAATGAACTGCATGATTCCATCAATTTTCAATGCCTCGATTTCATCCTCCTATAATATAATTAATTATTTATTATACAAATAATAATGTAATTATTAATAATTATAAATAAATAAATTAATTAATTAATTAATAAACAAACAATTCATTAATTTGTTCACCCATTCACATTCGGTCAATTTATCAAATGAAAATTTTTTATAAAACATGACCTGTGCTTCTGTCAGATCACCTGGCTGACATTTGATCTTATTGACCTTATCCATGATAGATGTTAACTGCATGACGACTTCTTTATGAATCTTGCCATCTTCAATTACGTCACGTTCTAATACTTCATTCTCTTCAGAGTAGAATAGTTTCTTGTCATTCTATGTGAGTTGGTGGTAAGGGCATTTCAAATGATTTGAAAAAATAAATGTAAAACAACTATAATTATACTATAATTAATAAAAATTAAAAATTAAATCGCAGCATAGAAAGATTATGAACCAATTTAGTTTTAATTAAATAGAATAAATTGAATTTACGTAAAAAATCAACATGTTTACTTTGTTAACGTTTAATATTAATTTAAAATTAAAAAAAGGTACCAACTAATTTTGGTGGCTCATGTTTGTTCTCTGGTTTACTTGGTAACTTTCTTTTTTTCTTATCAATAGACTCGTCGGCCATTTCGACATTTTCCAATTTCGAATTTGACATTTTTCTAAATTTTTTCGCAACGAATGGAATACTTTCGATATTTTGTTTAAATTTTTTGGCCAAAACAAAACGTAAGTTAAAGTAGATCAAGAACAAACGTAAGTTAAAGTAGATCAAGAACGAAACATGAAAAATGAATTTCAATCGAATATAAAAATTCAAACCATAGAGTTATAAGTACAGCATGAACTGTTAACACAAGTCATCAATCAGAAAATTACGAGCGAATATAAAAGCATTCCAACGGTTCAACACAAGTATATATATATATATATATATATATATACATATACATCTTCATCTTTAAAATAACAAAATAAAAGAAATTTCACAATTTATTTTCATCATTAAACTGCCAGTAAAAAGTAACTTTAACAAAACATTACAGCAATAATGCGAGAAAATTTAATATAAAAAACAAAAAAGCGATTTTATGTTCATATAATATAATATATCGTACAATGACACGCCAATGACGACTGACATTAATAAGAAACATTTAATTAAAAGTGTAAAAATAATTAATTATTTAATTAGTTAAGATTGTTAAATAAATTTAAATAACTAAAAATTTCAATTAGATATACTTGATTAAAATAAATTTCAACTCATTATCACGAAAACTAAATAGCATAGACTAGTAGTATATTAATAAGAATATTTATTTCATATCTTAAGCATGACGTAGAAAACGAGTTCGATACTATACTATACATGATACTATACATGAATGCAAGAATGAAAGCTATCCAAACAATTTTCAGTGATATTGTAAACAAACTAAAATCAAAAAAACTTGAAATAAACAAAATATCTATAGATTAAAATAAAACAAAAATACGAACAAAACATAAAATTCTAGTTTAAAAAAGTTGAATGAAATATGAAATTTCCAAAGCCATGATTTAACGGATAAATGCAACAGGACAATATTATCTGAATCATGTGCATACACTCAAACTCACACAAATACACGCGCGTACACACACACGCACGGATATATATACACACAGACACACACACGCACTACACTAAATACACGCGAACAAACAAGCAAAAAAACACTCAGATCAACGCAGCACTCATATACTCATACCATAACACACCCATATTTTTTTTTAACATAGCTTGATTGAATGCAATATTAAACAACTTTAATAAAACATAATACAAGATAAGAAGAATACATAATAATAATAATAATAACGAGGACAACAACAACAAAAATAATAATATTAAGGACAACTCTAACAATAATAACAAAAAACATTAATATGAAATAGTTGAAAGCAAAGATTGTTTTACGCGTTTGTTTAATAATATATAATAACAAGTTCATTAAAAAGTTGTTTGAAATATTTCAAATCATCTTCCCCTCATGTTTTTATTTATATATTCATTTGGACATAAATCACTCACATTGAACACTGAATTAAAAACCAATAATATACATTAGATAGAAGTATACCGTGTACCTCAACAAAAATTTACACTGAAAAAAGTTATTTTTTTACTTAGCTAGTTAGAGCCCATGTGTATGAATAGATAGACGTATATATATATATATATATATATATATATATATATATATATATATATATATATATATATATATATATATATATATATATACCTACCTACATGTGCTATTGACATAGGGCTTGACAGATCCTTAACTGAATATCATTAACATTAATATACGAATGTTGATGTCCAAGACAGACATACATCTACCCGGATTTTTACACTTAAGATAATGATAGCAATCATGTAATCATTATTAGCTGTTAGATATCAAGAGGAGCTGATATACTTGGACCAGTAGAATCACTTATAGCTGCTTTGCCCGCCATAGCTGTGCTTGCAGCCGCAACAGCTGTGATGCCAGCCGTTGCCATGGTTCCTAAAATAACCTGCTGATTTTCATAGGTGTTGTTTTGCTGTTTAAGAGCAGAGGACAATGTCATAGGCGGTTTGTAAGTAGGAGCAGCTGCATTTATCTGTTGTTGCTGTTGGGCTAGACTGCTGACAAGCTGCTGTTGACTGAATTGGGGTTGTTGTTGCTGTTGATGAGGTCTCATGAGACTACCTTGAGTTGAGTCAGCCGGGAACAGAAGGTCGGGGGGTGGAGGAAAACTATCGCTATCATTACCAGCACTGCTTCCAGTGTTGTTGTTCATCATGTTCATGTTGTTCATTCTGTTTCTATCTTCAATGACATAGTATTCGTGCTGTTGTTGTTGGTCGGGTCTGATGCCCCCCTGCACGTGGGGGTATGCTCCAGGAGGTCTCACGCCCATGCCCACCCCATCGCCATAACTACGAATCATCATTCGAGGAGGCTGGGCGGCACCGCCAGCTACACCTCCTCCCCTATGATTCGTATTTGCTCCAGTACCACGAAGGTCAGGTATGGAAGGAAGGGGCCTCACCCCTCCACCACTTTGTATCATCTGATTGGCCATCATCATGGCCCGACCTGCATATTTGTTTTCATTGGGCCCACAGTCGACAACAGTGGTGTTGGCGTAGTTGTACCCCTTGCCACCCTTGCAGGTCATGGTCTTGCCAACAATGACCTTTTGAACCAGGAGATTATTGGGGTCGTTGAGGTCGATGTACTGGTCACCTGATATTGACTGAGGCCTCCTCTTGTAGCCCATCTGATGGTGACTCCTGAATGTTATTGTGTTGCTAGCAGTAAGTGAGATGAACCAGCAGTAATCATTTCACTTAATTATTTATCATCAATATCTGCAATAATTTTCATTCATTGATTCATTCATTGATTTATTCATTGATACATTGATTGATTGATTGATTGATTGATTCATTCATTTATTATTTCATAGTTTATTTATCCAAGAATTATAAATACAAACGTGAATAAATTTATTTTTTAAGGAAATAAGAATTAAATTTAAAAAGAAAAAAAGACAAAAGTTCAAAGAGTAATTTACAGAAACTTAACACAAATTAAGATAACCATTTTAAAAGTTAAACAACAAATCTCAATAGAAATAAATAAAAACAAATAATAAAACAAATAATAACAAAAAGAATTAAAACAATACATAAAATTAAAATAAATATATATATATATAGATAGATAGATAGATAGATAGATAGATAGATATAGATAGATAGATAGTTAGATAGATAGATAGATAGATAGATAGATAGATAGATAGATAGATAGATAGATAGATAGATAGATAGATAGATAGATAGATAGATAGATAGACAGATAGATAGACAGACAGATAGATAGATAGATAGATAAATAAGAAGCCAATCCTCCTAACTTCTTGTAGCAGACATAACCAACAGTCAATATGCAGACACTGAGGATTATTATTATTGCTAGTACACCGGCCAATAATATGCCTGTATGAGTACATTAACATATATATAAATATATATATAATATAATATATTAGTATTAATATAATATTAAAATAATTATATAATTATTAATATAATACTATAACTTCATAATACTACTACTACTGATATTACTATTAACTTCTACAACTTTAGCTACTAAACACATAGCATAGGACAGAAGATATGTGTGTGTGTGTGCGCGCGTGTGTGTGCGTATTTCTTAGTCAGTTTTTTCTATGGATATCATATTTCACATATTTTGAAAGATTTGTAGATGAGAAAAGAAACCTCAATTTTAGTTTTAAAACCCAGTAATCAAGTATGAAACGAAAAGTGGCTTTTTTATTTTGTAAAACAATCATTTCAAAACAAATAATTAATTATTAATTATAATTGATTGTAATAATTACGAATAATTATCTATAACCACCATGATTATAACTATTGCTGCAAACTATAATACACAAAAATGAAAGAACAAACTCTGACCAAACGGAAGAGAAGAAAAAAATGAGGACATAGATGTTCCAATTTTACTGAATACACTTCCCATGAGGGGGTCACTGGGGTCACAGCTGCCCATGGTACCCTTCCACTCGTTATTAACGCAAACCATCTCCCACGATGAACTATCCGAGGGCAAACAGCCGACCTCAAGTTTGTCCACCTTCCTGTTCATCCACATGTTCTGCGTTGGGATTATATCCGGGCAGCCGGAGGCTAGTTAGTTGTTGGTGAATTGCAAAAGGGGGATGTTATTTGATGAGTTAGGAAAAGTTAGGAAAAGTGTGGGTTCTGATAATGAGATGTGAATAGTGAAGATTTTTAACAAGTTTGACAACTTTGGTTTCTTTATGTTTTTATAATTATAATATGTGCAGTATGGGCAAGGAGTAGTTAGAAGTGAAACAAGAGTGATTGTAGTTGTGTGTGGTGAGTGGTTTACAAGAAATGTTGCATGCAATGATCTTTAAAGTTGTCGTATAAGTAGTTGACAAACCAATTTTAATAAATTTTTAAATCGACAAATGGTTTTATTAACAAATATAGGATAAAACATAAACAGACAGATACCTTCGTAATGAACGATGAACTGCTGCCCTCTGGCGTGCCCATCAACGTTGATGTACATCTCAACCGAGTTGCTGGTACTCAAGTACACCTGTCTGTGACCTATGACCCCTCCTCCTCCACAGACCTCCACATCTTTCGGGTTGGACTTCTCCCTAATTGTCATCAGTCTCAAGCAATCTCCTCTCTTGATAGTTTCAAGAAATACGTAACAAAATTAATAAAAAGATTAGAGAATTTGTCAAAAAAATTTCTCACAAATAAAAAACAAAGTAAGAATGAATATTCAAAAAGAATGAGGCAAACATAGAAATACTTCAAAAGCATTTGAAATACTTTTAGTTACATTAATTTTTATTATTTCTTGCCTATGTAATAATTACATACGTCAAAAAAGTCTAAAATCATTTCAAATTAAACTCAACAAAAACAACAAAAGAACTCAACTAAAAATCAAATAAGACGCACAGGACGACACCAACCTCATTATACTTATTAAGAGAATTCTTCTTCAAAATGAACCCAGTATAATCATGGATACTTATGTTGATCCTCTGACCGGGAGAGACAACAAACGACCAGGGACATTTATAAGAGCCACATTGAATTCCATTCTTAGTTTCATCAGCTATGAGACTAGACAGAAAACCAGATTTATAACTCAGTCTAGCTGTCCTATGTTCTGAGCAGGTTGTGCAGGCCGATTTGTCAACTAATTAAGGACATTTTTTAAAATTAAATTTCAATTCATGTATAATCATTTTTTTCTCAATTATCTCAATATATCATGATTCTTTTAATTGAAAATAACATTTTTGACTAAGTTGTATAAAGCTTAAATTTAAAAATTTTCATTAAAAAAAACCTAGTAACCTTTTATACATTCATGTTTAATGAAGAGTGCTCTCTTGAATTCCTTCATGCATTTCTTAAACAACTCATCCAGATATTCATCATCTGATATCTTAAAAGAGCAACTCTTTTGGCCGGCACATTTGTAGTTCATGTAATCAGTAACATTATCGAAGCAGCCAATCTGCCCAAAGTTATTAGAATAGCACTTGCCTTGGATGATCCCAGATGCTGCATATGTTACATAAATCACTTCATCTGGGTTTGAACAGCCTACCTGAAACTTCTCTGATTGACAAAACTCGGTCAAGTCTGTATTGAAAACAAATAAATTGAGTAAACTAATTTATTTAAATAATATTTGAAATAAAAATGATTCAGGCAGTTGGATTTGCACTAATTACTAATAGAAGTAAACTATCTATCATTCTATCATTTCATGCTATTCTTTTGTAAAATTAATTCCAATTACAAATTTTTACAATGATTACAAAACAAACATTTATGAATTAAATTGCCATCATTGTCTTTCCATGAAAAAAGACTGGAAAATAACTTTTAAAATAAAAAAAAACAATCTAGATGTTCTAAACTAAACTTACCAGCTCCGTAAAGATCAGCGTTATTCTTGTTGGCGTCTGCGGTGATGAATGGGCCCAGTAGAAAAACGAAACAGAAAGAACAAGTCAGTACACGATCAATTAGTTCTAAGCGATCGATAATAACCATTATGAAAATTATTAACTATTTAACTTAATTTTAAAAATACAAATTTAAAAATTATTTTCTAATAAACTATCGCCATTGGAAATTAAATTGCGGAAAAAATTGCTAATGCACCAATAAAATTTTCGGGAGACAGACATGTTTATTGTAAATTATAATAAATGATAAAGCGCTTCACACCCAATATTTGGTATTAACGATAGAGTGTATGTGTGGCATGAAGTTTTCAATGACGCATTAAAGAATGAATTAATTTCTAGAGTTACTCATATTCGCAAGATGATATTTATAAAAACAAGATCTTCGAATAATTGCAAGTTATAACGTTATTTTTTGCAATTTTGTCAAAATGTAAATTTTCATAAAAACATGTACATTAAATTCTATACAATGAGCTTTATATAACATGTGCATATGTATGACTCACATTGTATATATTGTATTACAAATTTAGTGGAAATAATACACCATCTAAATTAAAATAATAAATGCAACTAACAAAACACATTTCAATCTATACATCATCATAAATTAACACATGTTGCTGATGCACAGAGTCTGGATTAATACATATAAATGTTACACATACAATGCATACATACTTATGTTAAGTTGATGAATATATAATATATACACACCAATACACACATATCTATATCATAGGAATATGTATAACATGTAAAATGTATACCTTGTGTATTACATGCGTATGTACAATACACAAATTGTATGCGTCTGACTAACATTATTTGGCATTACAGTTTGAGTTTACACTTGGAAAGAAGATAAAGAGGTATTTGCAAAATCTTCTGTTTTAATTTTATTGAAGTTTGAATCGTTGGCATCACATTTCAAATATTAATCTATGGTGTAATATTTTTTTTCTTCAAATAAATGGCTTTGACTGTTCATTTTGAATAGGTTAGAACAGGGAATCAAACATAAGTTATCTTATCTTATCTATCATTACACATATTAATTTCATCAGTTATATAATTGTTTCATCTTGTATGTTATTTATTTCAGACGTAAACTTTTTTGCCACCTTTAAAACTAACGGCAGTTTCCTTTTGTGTTTACGAATCAAGAAAACTTCATTTCTGATATAAAAATCATAAAAAAAAACCATGGCTGGAGTATACAGTTTAAGGGACGTTGCAGAACACAATACGGCAGAGGAACCATGGTTGATCATTGATGATAAAGTTTACAACGTCAAAAAACTTCTTCCTGATGTAAGGATTTACCATTTGGCATTTTTAACCTTTTCTTTTTAACCTTTTTAACATTTTTTTAATCTTTCAAATTCTGTTCAATTTTATCACGTCTGAGTCTTTAAAACGTTCATTTTATTCTCTAGCACCCTGGTGGCGAATTCATTCTTCTGTCAAATGCAGGTTTGTGCTACATAGTAGAATGAATGATTGTAGTGCAGTATCTTGTAGAAAATATTTCACTTGGGGCTTCATCATCAGTCCTATAGCAACTAATTTTTTTCATTTTAAAAACTTTATCAACAGGCAAAAACGCAACGACTGCCTTTGAAAGAAAGGGCCACTCCGAGAATGCCAAAAGATGGATGAAGGACTTTCAAATTGGAGTCCTAAAAGACACCAAGGCGGAATATGACACCAAAAAATGGTGTATATTTTATAAAATTTCAAATATACACACAATTTAGCTTCAATTTATCTTAAACTAATAAATACTTTAATTTACAAGTCCAATATACTGTCACTTAAACCTTGGTCTATCAGCATTTAGTAAAAATCATTGCAAGACATTTACGCAGCCATAAGAATGCTGCAACACAGCCATAAGTTAAACTCCAATTCGATGAAATCTAAAAATTGAACAGGTACCAAAAGTTGCCATTGGCTGGCGGCATTATGATTGGTCTCACAATGACTGCTGCCATAGTTGCAGTTGCTCTGTACAGTGTTCATCGTCATCGGGCTTAGATCAATGAAAAAGAACAAGCCCTCTCATTTAGTTCATGGAATTGTTGTACTTATTTAATCCTGAAAATAATCATCATCTTCTTTAATGTTTATGTTTTCTGTGAATTTTTTATTTGTGGCTGGCAGGTAATATTTTTTGTAGTTTAGTCATTTAATTTATTATCAATCATGCCTTGTATTATTTTTAGGAATAATATGGATTTTTTTAAAGTGATCATTTGATGAAGACTTTAGTAAATGTATCATACAACTTTTATTCATATATAAAATAATATACCAAACACCTTTCCCCACAAACATTTAGTACATTTAAAATATTATAAAAACACATAAAACAAAAAATATTTGCCAAATCGAATCTCCTATCATTTTATAATTCTTTGTTCTTCTTTTTCTTGTTATTAAATTGAATTTCAATGTAATTCAATTGAGACTTAAATTTCCCTGGGTTATTTCTCACTAAAAAAAATAAGGATTCATTAAATATAATAAAATTTTTCAAAAAAATATTATTTTTGACCTGTGTTGGCTTCATGATCAACAATGAATTCATAATCTGGCAGTTCTGTATCTGGCTGTTTCTAATTTTCAAAAATTATATTGAATGATTTGGAAAAAAAAATCAACATAAATGTTAATAAAATTTAGCTTCTGGGTGACATGATTGCATAATGGTTATGTTGTATAGCATTGCATCTACAGTGATTTGATTAAAATGGCAAGAAATTCCCACTTATCACATACAATGTGTGAGAAGAGCAAAAATAAAAAAAAACTTTTGCAAAGGACCACCTCTAGATGTACAGATTTAATATTTCCAGAATGCAAGTGGAGTGAAAATTCTTCAAAAAACAGGTAGGAGACACCAATTGGCCTCTTTATGATGCATCTCCAGAGTTTCTTAGAAAGGTGCTTTTCAATTATGAAATCCCAACTCTGATAAAAATGAGACCAAATCAATTTTAAAACTGAAATAACTTGAAAATTATGAAAACTTAGTAAAATAGTTTAGTGTTAAAAATTTAACAACTTTTAAAAATTTTATTACATACTACTGAGTTTGAATGGAATATTTGTGCATATTATTTAATTTATATATCAATTTAATAATTAAATTTAAAAAAAAATTTATTTTTATCATTAAATTTATTAATTAATAATAAAGTTTATTAAAACCTCTTTTGTGCCTCCTTGAGCTTTGTATGAAAATTCACAGTTTTGATTTTCCTTGATTATAAATGAACGTATTTTGTTTGAACATGGTGTCACCATGAATTTAAATGTTTTTTTTAATATAAATTTATATTATAAAATATAAAATAAATAATTATGATAATTTTAATTTTAAAATTTACTAACATTGAAGGCGTATGAAAGTTTCTGAAGACCGGCTCCGGGCTTGATGTCAACGGCAGCTTGAACCAAATTTTTCCACTCATTTGAAAATACTTTTTCGAAGAGTAACAACTGAGCGAGAAAAAATGTCAGCCATAAGAAATTCAAATTTCTAACGATATACGTGTCGAAATTCATTTTTAATATTGTTTAAAAGGGAATTTCATGAAACTTTCGCTTCGCATGGTAAACATTTTGACAGTATTAACACCGTTTTTACCGTATTTACAGCGTTTATATAAAAGTTTAAAATATTATTTAATTAATAAATTTAATATAATTTTTAAACAAATAATTTTGAACAAAATTGAAACAAATTTTTATTTATTTTAAAGTAATCCAATGCAGAATTAGTTTAACCAATTTTCCTTTCGTCATTAAAGTAAATAATATAAATTTGAAAATGGCGTCTTCAAGGTTGTTTTCGAGTGAGTAGACAGCCACATCGTTCAATTAAATATGTCTAAATATTAATTTTTAATACTCTGTTTGGTTTCGTTTGATTATTTTTGTTTAAATTTGCAATCACATTCCTTTTTCTAAGTTTTTACGAAAAATCCTAATCAGGACTGTGAAAACACGGACATTAATTTTTTCATGTCGTTCTTTGAATTTAAGCCGTTGATCTTAAATTTTAAAACAATTCAGTAATTCAACAGATTGTCATCATCTGTTTGTTCTAATTAAAACCTGTTTTTAATTTAACAGCAGTTTTCCGATTAGCACCGAGGTATTCAAACCTTGGGCTGAGAAACCTGGCCTATGATGCCACAAGAGCCAACTTGATGGTCTCAAAAAGCACTAAAGTTATTTGTCAGGGCTTCACTGGAAAACAAGGAACCTTCCATAGCAAGCAAGCTATTGATTATGGGACTCTCATGGTGGGAGGAGTCTCCCCTGGCAAAGGTGGGCAAACACACCTCGGCCTACCCGTTTTCAATTCTGTTAAAGAGGTAACATTTCACATTTTTTCAATAGTGAATTTTTTTCAAAATTAAATTTTTATTTCATTATTAATTTAAGATATGTATTATCTTACAATTAAAATTTTAGTTTGTTCTTTGAAAAAGGCCAAAGAAGCAACAGGCTGTGATGCCACAGTAATCTATGTACCACCTCCAGTGGCCGCCAAGGCCTGCATGGAGGCTATTGATGCCGAGATTCCCCTAATTGTCATGATCACTGAAGGAATTCCCCAACATGACATGGTTCGAGTGAAGAGAAGACTCATGGATCAGGATAAGTCAAGGCTCGTTGGTCCTAACTGTCCTGGACTCATTAAGGTAGTTGTTTGTGTTTGTTGTATTGTTGTTGTTGTGTTATTATGGTATGGATGCTATGGTGTTATGCTGTCTAGAAGAGCTAAAAAATAAGTAGTTGGTGGTATATTTTTGGAAATTTCATTTTTTTTCATTTTCTTTGTAGCCTGGTGAATGCAAGATTGGGATCATGCCCGGACACATACACACAGCTGGAAAAATTGGTATGTATGTGTCTCATGTGTTTGTATGTGTCACATGTGTTTGTATATGTTTGTAAGTGTCACATGTGTTTGTATGTGTCACATGAGCTTGCATGTGTGTTGCTGAGCTGTTTTTTTGTTATGTATTCTGTTTTAATTCAGTGTGTGTGTGTGTGTGTGTGTGTGTGTGTGTGTGTGTGTGTGTGTGTGTGTGTGTGACTGTCCTGGTTATAACATTAAACTGACCCTCACTGCCTTGTGAGTGATGTTGGATCATCAAAGGCTAGGCCCACCGCTTATAACTGTGGTTGCGTAAGGAAGGGCGTCCTGCGTAAAAATTAGCCAAATAAATTACTTATGATGACAGAAGTGACAATGGCCCTCAGTATCCGGCAGAATGGCATCGAGGGGTATTTCGGTTTCGTCATAGGTAGCCAAGCGGCAACCCCCGATCTCGGGAAAATGTCGTCTAAACGTGTGTTGTTGTTGTTGTGTGTGTGTGTGTGTGTGTGTGTGTGTGTGTGTGTGTGTGTGTGACGCATGCATACACACTTGCTGTTGACACATCTAAGAGGAGCAGTTAAAGAAAATTGTAAACAAAATGAAAAAATATTTCCTTGTAGGTGTTGTATCACGATCAGGCACTCTAACCTATGAAGCAGTGCACCAGACAACGTTGACGGGGCTAGGGCAGACCCTGTGTGTCGGAATTGGGGGCGACCCTTTCAACGGAACTAACTTCATTGACTGTCTCGATGTTTTCCTGAAAGATCCTAAAACTGAAGGTTGTTTGTGGGACAGTTTGGTTGGCTAGTTGATGGGTTGGTTTGATTTGTTGGCTGTGGTTGGCTGGCTGCTTTGTTTGTTGGTTATTGACTGTACCTATATAAATTATTAATTAATTAATTAATTAATTAATTAATGAGCATAATAAAATAAAATGTCATTGAACCAACCACCAACCAGGTATTATTCTAATTGGAGAAATCGGTGGACAAGCAGAAGAACAAGCATCAGAGTTCCTCAAGGAATTCAATTCGGTTTGTCTTATTTTATGTGTCTCTTTTCTGTCCTATCTTCTTTCTTTGCCTAGTTTTATAAGTTAAAGTTGTTTATCATTAAAATATAAATTTAAAAAATAACGCAAGTTTTTGAAATATTTTTCAACAAAATGAACGAATGAATAAGCAGTCAAACCACTGAGTAAGCATAATAAATTGAGAATATAATCCTCCAACAAAATTAATAACGCTCCGCATTTTTAGGGCCCCAATAGAAAACCAGTTGTGTCCTTCATAGCAGGCCTGAGTGCCCCTCCAGGTAGGAGAATGGGGCACGCTGGGGCCATCATTGCAGGGGGTAAGGGTGGGGCCAAGGAAAAAATTGAGGCCCTTAAAAGTGCCGGTGTTGAGGTAACTATGAGTCCCGCCCAGCTTGGTTCCACCATGGTGAAGGTAGGGAAGTTTTTGGTGATTTTTTTTTGGTTGTGTATGTGTGTGTGTGTGTGTGTGTGTGTATGTGGGTGTGTGTGCGTGAGTGTGTTGTTTCCTATTCACATGCTGTGCATGTGATGTGTTGATAATCTATGGTAAGAGGTTTACTACCGCCACCACACTACTTAACAATAAATTTTTTACCTTGAATCCATTTTTATTCACGACAGGCTTTTGAGAAGATGGGGAAATCCACCAGCTAAATTTAGAAAGAACTGATTAAGATAGAAGGAAAGAAAGAAAAAAAGAAAGAAAGAATAAATGATTGAAAGAATGAAAAAATAGAAATTGAATGAATGAATGGACGAACGAACGAACAAATGAATGAATGATTGAATGAATGAATGAATGAAAGAATGAATGAATGAGTGAATCTATCTTCTGTCTATTTATATTATCTGTGTATTTAAAATTTAGCACTCATTGATACGAAAAGTTCTCGTTTTGTCGTTGTTACTAATTATCATCATTTTAAGTGTTACTGCAATTGCTATTGCAAATCACCAAAACCGCTACTTTCATCATGGTCAGTTTCGTCATCATCATCATCAGTTTCGTCATCATCACCATCAGTTTCGTCATCATCATCATCAGTTTCGTCATCATCACCATCAGTTTCGTCATCATCATCATCATCAGTAGCAGCATCACCGTCATCATTTTACAGTTGTTTATTTGATTGTTTGGTTGCTGCTTCTTTTTAAAATGATGATGGTGATGATCTAGTTGGTAATGATGATGATGGTGATGATGATGTCAACGACAATGATGATGATGATGTTAGCGTTTTCTTTCTTTCTACTCGCGACTTTGTAAACTGATGTTTTCAATATAATAAGATTTTTAAAAAAATGCGTGTTTGCGTGTGTGTGTGTGTGTGTATTTATTATTCCATTTCTCAAACTCGAGTAATCTATAGTTAATAATAATTATAACAATAATAATAGTGATAGTGATGATGATAGTAGTTATTTTTTTATTGTTCAGTTGTTTAACAATATCTGAGATGCTTTTGATATAGATATGCATTGTAATATAAATATATTTGTGTATGTGTGTAGTGTATATATATATATATATATATATATATATCTAGGTGTATATATCCAGATATATATCTATAAATATTGGATTGTAGGTTTTCCTAAATGAATTATATAGCATAGCTTAGTTTCACGTAATTGCTGTTGCTGTTGTTGTTTGATGAAATTTATATTCCTCCAGTTTTGTAGTGGCTTAATGGGTTGATTGGTTGATTAGTTGATTGATTGGTTGATTGATTGATTGATTGACTGACTGATTGGTTGATTGATTGATTGATTGATTGATTGATTGATTGATTGATTGATTGATTGATTGATTGATTGATTGATTGATTGATTGATCGATCGATCGATTGATTGATTGATTAGTTGATTGATTGGTTGATTGATTGGTTGATTGATTGATTGATTGACTGATTGATTGATTGGTTGAT